GAGCATTGGTTAAGTTCGTTCCATATAGTCTGGATACCGGACCCGATGATTCTGATTACCTGCATTATCAAGGGTCGTCCAGAAATCTTTGGGCAGGGAACTACACTACGTTCAATAGGGTGCGCCCCCCAAAATGGACAGAGTGCATGCATGTAGCACTAGAGGGGTTATTGGCATGGTATTGATGTACTCATGCTGCCTGGCTGCGCGCTCATGGGACTTGTCACTTGACACTTCTTGGCAAATGCGGTGAAGGAAACCAATATCAAAGCACGACTTTTTTAAAATGCCGACTTACACGAGGGAATTGCTGTGGTTTTGTGGAAAAGGGACCGAGAATATGTACGAAATGACGACTTATAAATGCCGACTTAAAAATGAAATTTTCAATGGAAAAGCATTACAGATGATCGGGACTTTTGTCAAATGGCCGACTTGGACGATATGACAGGTTATGCAATGTCGACGTATTAGTCAGAGTTTACTGTATTACTAATCATGACATCACAATACCCAATATGTCACAGTTGGTATCTTTTAACAAGGAAAACCAATTGTGATATTTAATAATATATGTATCATCCATGGGAACAACTTTTCACCCTGGACATATTCTTTTGCATTCAGCAGGGATAACGCTGATGTGTAGTATGACAACAGATATAACTCACAAGTTCTCCAAAATTCCTCCTTTCTTCTGGGAAGTCCCAATCTGCATGGGGATCTTTATCATCATCATGAATATCTGGAGCTTTGGGGTAATCCCCCCAGCCTAGTCCATCATCAGGGTAGGGTTCATAGTCCTCTACTCTCATACCATACTTCTTAGCTGCTGCTGCTCTCTCTTGAGGGGTTTTGGGGAAGGTACCTGGTAGGTCATCTTCAGCTGGAATGGTCAAAGTGATGAAAGACAGAAAGCGATAAAGTACTGATGTGAAGGGCCAAAATAAAGTATGAAGTGAACAGAATGGCCATTTTGATCAGAGTGGCCTTAGAAACATTGAAGTTGACATACAAATCCCTCAACCTATAAACCCCTACATAATCTGCACACATCTGCTTTCTGTGGCCGTACATCATGTGACAAAAATAGGTGCAGTGTAACGAACATTTATGTTGCTTTGGATACTAGATCCAATAATTCCAACTACTCTCATTAATATTAAATATAGAGACATCAGGGAAATCTGTGGTCAGGGAATCACACTAATGCAGATGTGTGTGGATTGCCAAGGGATTTATACTAGGTCAGGGTGGTAGGAAAAAGCTCATTTGTTGCCAATGATGT